ATTTCGAGGGAATCGTTGAAGCTGATGGAACAACGGGGTTTGGACGAAGCATACATCTCGGAGATGCTTTCCTAGGCAACACAACTGAGTGATCGAATTCCTTTAACCTAGGGTCAGATAAAAGGTCAGACCAGGGTAAAACCAACCTGTTTTATTACTTTGAGGGTTGCTATATAGGGTAGTTTCTGGTGCTCATTTCGAATTAGTTGATGACAGAAACCGCATGGACCGTCTTACATGGACTTCTTATAGGTCAGAATAGGTCACTTACCTAACATGACCCAGATTATCATCTGGTCTTTATGAATATACTGCCTGGCCTAAACTTAGCCGCTCATTCCAATGCAAAGTTCAACAGTCTTCTATGATTTTGGTCACCACAACCTTCGAAAGGTCAAACAAGGTTTCTTACCCTGAATGAGCATGTGACCTTTTGCTTAGAACAAGCATCTAGGTTCGGAGGACAATTTGGAGACCATCTCAACGTGTGGCCCTATTTGATCTTAAGGCGGCTCAAATTTTTACCTAAGTGAGTTCGTAGAGGCCAACACACAGTGTGGATTTGGTATCTCTAGCCCTCTTAGTTTTTGAGATCTTAGGGGCGCCAAATTGACCCCCACCCGAGCGAAGGGTTCCCAACCGGCCATCCGGGCGCGTATCAATGCACGTTAACATATCGTTACAAGCTTCCCTGCAGCCCCACGGCCGTCAACAACGAACAGCAACGATGTCCTACGACGGTCGGTGCCCGCCACTCGTCAGTTAGTTCATTGCTAAGGCATGAGACAGGGGTAGGCAAACAATCACTTACACTTAGCTTAGCCATGCGCCACTTATATCCGCGTACCACTATACCACTTAACAATATGTTTCGAATCCGGCCGTACTAATAATTTATTTTTTCTATCGGCATAGTTTTGTTATCATGCAAACCAGCATTTCTTGGACATGATGTTGAAAACTTGTTGTTATGGTGTGGCGGGATTTTAGTTGCATATTCTTCTGCTGCTGAAAGTTGACACATCGTAGATGCAAATTTAAGTTCCAGCGCGGTGGTAAGTATGTATTTCATGCATTAAAATCGCGTCCCTTGAGTTAAAATGGTTCGTACCTGCAGACTGCCTGCCTTAAGCGCCTACCTATGCTTGCTGGCGTTAATACTACAGTCATGAAGGCACCAGCTGACCCAAACCTTCCAGGTCGGTATGTCCAGTGAATCAAGAATTCTCTGCTGGTACTTCGCATACCAATAAGAGAACGCGGAAGTTTCCTAAGATTGGGGCTCATAGACACTTTAAGCCGTCATGCACGGCCGTAGTCTAGTGCTAAATTCATTCGAGTATTAGAGGGGACTGGAACCTGCAACGTCATCCCCGCCCTCCATAACGCAACAGTTCCCGTATACCTGTTTTTATTGATAACTGTTTGTAAGTGTCCAGGCAGAGGTAACCTCGCAGTTAAAGGAAGTATTTCACATCTCTATGGGGTTTTAAACTCATCTACCTATCTTGAATATCATCCGGTGCAGTCAGCAGCCTTGCCTTGTGAATACCTCAACAAATTCCTCTAGTTTCTGAGCTACGCGCCCGCGAGGATGTGCTGACTTTTTCGGGGAGACCATTTCAAGGTTACCCAGGTATCCACGACGCCAAAATCACGTCAATCAAATTCCGTCGTTCCATTAGCCATGCAACGATCAAGGCCAAGCAAGACATACTTGTCGAGGCAATTATATCTGGCGTTCGTGAGCACGACCTCTAGATATATCGGCCGTCAATTCGCTCTCAGTCAATGCTGTGCAAAATACGATGACGCAATCAAACAATGGCGTATTGAGGAGTACGCTTACCAAACACAAATTATGTTTTTTGGAGCAGCCTTTTCCACTTACAAGTGTACCAATAGTTATGAGTCAGCTTCTTTCATTATATGTGGCGGTTCCTTCGACATCTTCAAATGTGGAACATTTTTTTCATCAGCACCTACACTTATGCACGCTGATATCGTAGTTTACTTGCACACGTATTTCACAGCTGATGTAAGGTCTCCACGGCCACTAAGCTCTGAGGGAGAATTTTGCAACTGATTGCGGCCTTCAGGTAACAGGTGGTGCATCTGAGAGGCACTCGGATTGGTGCATGTTTTGCACTCGATAGCCATTTGTCATATCAATTAATGTCAAGCCAATCGCACTTCCTAATTATTGCTCTTTGCTAGTGCTGGCATATCGCTTTGGGATGGAGAAAGATGCTACCCCAGTTGTCGCCATGCAACATGAAAGGGTGCACGTCAATGTTTCTTATAGACATGGTAGTTACCACCCACACGCCCCTTCCATTCCTGCTTTCGTATAATCATTTTACATGCCTCCTGAATCTGGATTTAAACCAGAGACAATTTTTGGGTGTCAATAGATCAACTGATGTCGGCGATTTTAGCGCAGGTTGGACCAGAAACGGATTGTGAGACATTTTACATGCGTGACGCGAAAAGGCTGATGCAGCTAAGGTCCCCGCACGAGCGCCAGTCTTTTCGTCATTTAGCGTAAAGCGATTTTTGGTTTCTTTTTTTATCAGCCGGTAGAGTGGACGCGGATCATGCGTTCATGCCCTGGTGTCGTATGTCATGCTCTCATGCTCCCCAATATTACTCACCTGAGGGTGTTGAAGACGTCGATCGCCATAACATTGACCCAGAATAGCGCTGCTGCGAAGGCGCTGAAATTAACAATGGCCAGCAGAACACAGCCGTCGGTGCCGTAATCCTGCCACAATGCCGCCATGGAGCAGAGGTAGCCGATAAGCAGGCAGACGCACAAGGACGTCACACATTTTTCCGGGCAGGTTCCGTGTTTCGGCACGGCACAGAACGCCGCCAGATGCAGCAGGAGGCACAACACGACGCTGTACGACATTCCACCAAGGCGTATGAAAAGGCGGTTTGGAACCTTTTAAGTTGGAAACGCGGGTCACAAAAGGTTAGCTGTCCGTCACTGAGCTCGTAATAGCCGCGATCCAAGAACAGGTCATACGCCAGCACGTACGCGACCGTCTTTGTCGCTGACCTGAAACTGGTACTCGTTTACGGTAACCTTGGGCAGGTCAGGGAGCCGGTGGCGTTGGTGACGCCAGAGGAAACTGAGACTTCCCTGCAGATCTTGAAGAACGGGTCCAGAGTCGGGCGCCGGTACAGATCCTGGTGCTCCCACTGCGTTCATGCCCGACCGGTGGTGATGTCGAGAAAAAAGACTGATAATGCATGCGAGGACGCCTTCCCGTCAGCAAAATGGTGGGTCGGCCGGCCCAGTAGTTAATGTATTGTGGTACATAGTTGCACAGCGGCGCAGTGCGCGTTGCAACGGCTACCTGATTCTGCGTGATATGATAATGTAGGCATTGTACGCGGTCGCCACATTAGGGCGAGTTCTAGGTTGCCTCCAGGTTAGCCGCACACTGGAATATTTTGGGTTGACAGTTCCGCATCAAATGTCTTTGTCGTTATTGCCCCCGAATGTAGGGAAATTACGCACGCATGAAACGCTTCCGTGTTTTTCGTCCATATAACTGACAATCCCCATTCTCCCAGCAGGGTTCTGGAGTAGTTCTCTTCAATGAAGGTATCGGTGATATTGAGGGCGAATGGTGCTCTTGGTCAGTGTCGCGACAGGATATCGCCGGCGTCCAAAAAACCAGACCCTGCTAAGTCACCGTGGCATATGCGAGCAGTAATAGTTGCTGTAGGTCATCCCGCTGGCGGGGCTTGTAAACCGGTTAAAGCCGCGAACGCGAATCCTCGGCGAAACGCCGCGTTGCGAGCACACATGGCCTTCGCCGAGGTGTCCCGCCACTGGACCGGACACCGCAGGACACCATGTACACATACCCGAAATCTGGGGATCGCCCTGATGCCAAGTCGTTGCGGGGAGGCAGGGCCTGTGGGCTCACATCCAGGCCAACAATCTCCGCCTACAGCGCGCCACTCCTCGTCGCAGGAGCACCTGCGAGCTCCCCGTTTAAACGGTGGGCATTTTGTGCATCTCACTGCGCCACAGGTTGAGTGAGGCCAAGCTTGCGTCGATTATTGTCACGAGCTGGGCGTGCGCCACGTGCCGCTGCCCAAAGGTTGGGGGGGCGGCCTACGATCGGTCGCGCCCAGCCAAGAGAAGCGCGGCCGCCGCCAGCATCGCATCGCCGCAACGACTGTGGCGCGCGCGGAGGGGTGACGCGCGCCCGTCCTCTGCTGGTTGGCAGAATGGCCTGCCCACGCCTCCGCTTCGCTGCCCTCGCCGCCGGAGCCAGACGCCGGATCACTGTGAAGGTAGGTCAAGTTTCAGCCCGGCGGCGGTTGGTCGGCCTCGCTATGTGATCTCAGCGCTGACCACCGTAACGTAACGATAGGTGCAGAAACTAGGCCACGGGGCATCTCTTTAATGCGTCACCGGTTTGTAACCCGTTGCGGGGCCAAGCGTCAGCCCCCGCCGCAGGCCTTCTGACGTGGCTGTCAGGTCAGCTAGGCACCCGTTACCACGGCCGGTGCTTGGAAGAGGACATTGGGTCATATACAAGGGGCCCCCGAACGGTTCGTGATGCACTGGAGGTGAGCTACGCGGCGTGCGCACCGTCAAGCTTCTAACCATGGAGGCATATAGGAGGAGAAACAGACGGAGGGCCATGGCAGAATGCATTGTACCTGTCCACCGATTGGCCGGACTCGCCCGTCCACTGAGAGCGTCGGCTCAGCCAGTGTATAATTACCCTCCTTTGGAAAACCCCCAACCGAAAAAATGACCTAATCTCCCAGGATCATGGAACTCACCTCCACCACTGGGTCACGAAGAGTCCAGCACCGTTCAGTTTGCCTAGATCAACATGCTTGATATAAACAATACAGGCTTTGGAGCTTCTGGAGTTCTTTGCTGACAGTTATCGACTTTCGATATGCCAAGAGGTACCGAATAAACGTCGTCGTAGCAAGCAAAGTTACGCTTCACGTTCTGCTGCCGATAAAAACTGAACAATTGTCATCATTCCACAGCACCCTGGCACGCAACGGAAACGGTAAAACGAAGTCAAGCACTAACTTTCAGGATAATACCATACCTACGTAAGCTGTTCAGTGCGTTCGCGGGAAACATTATGCATAGAGAAAAGGACGGTACAGGTGGCATTATTTCTCGTGGTATAACCAGAAGAAAAGAGAGATAGGGTACCGATAGGGGATGCGGATAGAGGGATAGAAAAGAGAAAATATTTTTTCGGGGGGGGAGCTACGTGCCTTAAAGAAGACGAATATCAGAAGTGATATTCGTTTCAATCGTTTCGAGGCATTTGTGTTGTTCGATGAGCAACTGATAGAAAGCCCTAAGCCAGCCCTGGTCCAAACTGATGACTTGTCCACATACCCTTACAAACAAATCCAGTGCGTAGATTTTAGTTAGGTGCTGGAAATGTACAAGATGTGTAATCATGTCGTAGAACTTAAGTTTCCATTAAACGTTTGACAGGCTCTCGTTTGTAAAAAACATGAAGCAGATGCTACGACAGTAAAAACTTTGGAGTTTGAATTAGTATTATGTCATAACTTTCCCACGATTGTAAAGAGCGTGAATGCTGCATTACACTTGAAAGCATGCATCACTTTTCAGCAACAGCCATCATGTTCTAAAGGAAACTCATACGAAACCTGAACCTGCCCGAACAGTTTTTATTCCGGTAGATAAAAAACGCCACTGGCTGACATAATCCGCTGCAAAGCTACCAAATTAGACAAGTTTTCTTACTGTACTGTTGGGCAATCGCTGCTGTACACACTACAATTGACAAATATAACACATATGTATTAAACGGCGAAGTGGTACGCGTGGAGAAGTAAGTGACGTGGACATATCAGCGAAGTGGAGCAGGACAAGAACGAGTCAGGGAGACGCAAAACAGAAAACAAGTTGACAGGCATTGGGAATCATCTTTAAGAAAGCAACATACTGTCCCAAGAAATCTGGCTTTTTGGGCATGGGCGTAATCACGACTCTGAGCTCGTGGGGACAATCGGATTGAAGACTGAGATGGAATGTAAAGGAGACTACCTGTAATGCTAATGACATTTTGAATTGGAAGTTTGCAATAAAATAAACCATTCTACAGACAACATTGGCGGATTACACGCATGGGCATGCAGCAAATAAAGAAGGGGATACAAATCATGTTTTTCGTCCCCCGATCTCCATGGAAGTCTCGCCATCACTGGGCGTGCCATGACAGCCAGAAGACAGGAAATGGAGGGGATAGGTGGCAATAGGACAGAACAGGACATTGTTTGCGGCCGGGGCAGGATGAGAGAGGACTAAGTTGGACAGGATTGAGGAGAAGATAATAGCACAGGGTAGGAAAGGACAGGGCAAAACCTTGAAACGCATGAAACAGCAGTCGTTTATCGGGACTTAATGTCGCGCTCAACTGCTGAGGCCATGACGTCGCTCGCCTCTCACCCCTGGCAGAAAGGGGAGGGCACCGCGAGAAATTGAACCCTGTTCCTCTGGTTTCCCAAACGTGTACGTGGTTAACGCAAAACGTGGTTAACGCAAACACTCCAGTACCAGTACACTGATCCAATGCACTACCGGCACCCTGGGTGGTAGAACAGCAAGCAAAATAAGCTAGGACAGTAATGGGGATGGCATGAAGGGACATGACAGAAAAGAAGAGGGTGGCGGATTACAGCCACACAATGACGATAGCAAAAAGAAACTGTCAAAATAAATTGCGAGGGATGTTTCTTTCATCCTCACACCAATTACCAGTATGAACTTCGGCTACTGCCCCCCCCCCCCCCCGCCCCACCTTGCCTCTTCTTTCCACCCAGCATTGGCCAGTGTCGTCATCGCTCCACCTTCTACGCCCCTGCGTCCCCTGAATGTGGGGCACTCCGCGGCGATCTACGGCCAACGAGGGCGGTGGGCGGCAATCGACGTGTGTTCGATGGCAAACGGACGGGTGGTTGTCGCATCGACCCCGCTGTAAGTCCGCTTTACTAAAACGGCGAATCAGGGCGATGGTTATTCAGTTACTTGCGTTCTCTCCTCGAGGCCAACCGGCCATGTTCATGTGCACTGAGTACGCACACAATAAACTAATGACCTCAGGTTGCAGGGTGTAGTTTCCTGCTAGTAGTGATCCCCCACCTCCTACACTAAAACTCCAGTCTCCCCAATTTTGTGAAGAAAGTGAGGCAAACCCGCGAAAAAGCGTTTGCTTGTGTACTTTTGAGGTGGGTCTCATAAATTTGAACTGCTCTTACCCCCACGCCAATACATTTTGCAAAATACGCCCCTGTCACGCTATCGGCACTGAGTGGCATCACTTATGTTGTGCCGCCTAACGCCGCGTACTAGACACACTCAAACATCAACGCAAATGTCTCGCCCATAGGGTTTACCTTTCTCTTCCCTCTCCCTTCCCACCCCCCCCCCCCCCGTCCGAACTTTGAGAAGAGAACGTGCTAAATCTGTGCAAAAGCCTATTTGTTACCGTAATCTGGTGGTAGCTGGAGTAAGTTTACACCATTCAGCTCACCTACACCATCTCATTTTGTGAAGTTACACCCGTCCGTCTGTGGACGCTTGTTTTTGATGAGGCATTTAGGACTCGCTCAGTATTTTTTTTTTGTCCCTTACTCTCTTCACTGCTCCTCGCCATTATTGACCGTGATAGACAAGAACGTCTTGCATGTCAAACTCCGAGCACTCAGTATGAGGGGATCCTGTGG